TGAAGAAATAATACTGGGGAATTTTCCAAAACTGACGAAAGATATCAAAGCACAGATCCAAGCAGCCCAACAAATCTTAAGAGGATAAATTGTTTAAAAACAATTATATCTGGTCCTAGTCACATTATAGTAAAAACTGCTGAAAATTAAGAGAAAGAGTGAAAGGAAGAAAATCTTAAAAGCAGCCAAACTCTTCCAACTCCCAAATGTTATCTTCAAAGAACCAATAACTAAGCTGATAGCCAACCTCTCAACTGTAGATAATGGAACAATCTTCAAAAAAATTAATTTAAAAAAATCTACCAACTAGTAAATTCCATACCCAGCAAAAATATAAATGAAAGTAAATCCTTAATAAAATAACAGATCTAGGTGATTATCACCAATGGCCACTAACATCACAAAACAGCTATACTTGGGTAATCTATGCCTCTGGTAGAAGTACACACCACCACCTAAGAAGTATTCTTTCCAAAATACTGAATAAAGGCGGGTGCAGTGGCTCATGCCTGTAATCCTGACAGTTTGGGAGGCGGAGGTGAGTGGATCTCCTGAGGTCAAGAGTTCGAGATCAGCCTGGCCAATATGGTAAAACTCTGCCTCTACCAAAAATGCAAAAAGTAGCATGCACCTGTAATCCCAACTACTGGGGGAGGCTGCTTGAACCCAGAAGCCACAAGTTGCAGTGAGCTAAGATCATGCTACTGCACTCCAGCCTGGGTGACAGAGCAAGACTCAGTCCAAAAAAAAAGTACTGAATAGAATTTGATCATGCTGCTAGATTTAAATAATAATTTTTAGGAAATTCAGGGATAAAGGAAGATGTTAAATAAACTATGGATTTACAATTACCATATTCCAGGATATGCGACCCTATTAGAACAAATAATCCAGTGTCCTCAACAACAAAAGGTCAGGAGGTGGGTGGCTATAGATTAATTAAGGGACTCAAAAGGCCTATCAGTCAAGTGTAACATATACAGATCAGGCCAGGTGCAGTGGCTGATGCCTGTAATCCCAATTTTTTGGGAGGCCAAAGCAGGAGGATTGCTTGAGCTCAGGTGTCTGAGACCAGCCTGGGCAACCTGGTGAAACCCCATCTCTACAAAAAAAAAAAAAATACAAAAATTAGCTGGGCATGGTGCCGCATGCCAATAGTCCCAGCTACCTGGGAGGCTGAGGTAGGAGGATCACTTGAGACCAGGAGGTCAAGGCTGCACCTTGGATGACAGAGTGAGACCCTGTCTCAAAAATATTAACAATAATAATGATAGATTTTTGCAAATAAACTTTAAAGTTTGGATGAAATGAAGACAATCATAGAAAAACATAACTTTTCAAACTCACAAAACTAAAACGTCGGAATGGTCCTGTAATGATTAAAGAAATTAAATATGTAAATTAAAATCTTCCTACAAAGACAATTTCAAGCCCAGATGGGTTTACCAGAAAATTCTATTAAGCACATAAGGAAAAAACAATAATCTTCCAGAAATTTTTCCAGAAAATACAAAAATAGGGTATACTCCCCAATTCATTTTACAAAACCAACAAACTTTAGTACCAAAACCTAACAAGGACATTTAGAGAAAGAAAATGTTCAGGCCAATCTCACTCACAAATATAGATGTAAAAATTGTACATAAAATAGCAGCAAATTGATCCACTAACATATAAAATGGGTAACACATCTCCACCAAATTGTGTTTAGACCGAGAATGGAAAGTTGATTTAACATGCAAATTTCAATATAATTCACATAAACGAGAGGTTGTGAGGAGAGAAAAAGAAAAACATATCATCCCATCACTCATCAGAGAAATGCAAATTAAGGTCACAATGAGATAGATACTACTACTATCAAAACAGCTAAAATTAAAAGACTGACAATACCAAGAGCTGATAAGAACATAATGTGACTGGAACGCTCAAACAAGGATGGTAGGTGGCATAAACTGATAAAACTGCCTTGCAAAATTATTTGATATCAGTCACTCGAGTTGAACATACATATACCTTATGGCCTCAACAAACCCACTCCAGAGCAAATACCCAATATAAATGTATGTATACGCATACCAGGACATATGTAAAAAAGCTATTCAAGGCAACATTACTCGGTAATAGCAAAAAACTGAAAACAGCAAAAGATCTAAAATAGTCAACAAAATACTGAAGGAGAAGAACAAAATTGGAGGACTGATACTACCCAACTTCAAGACTTATTATAAAGCTACAATAAATCAGGCAGGGCACAGTGGTTCACGCTTGTAATCCCAGCACTTTGGGATGCAGAAATGGGCAGATCATTTGAGCACAGAAGTTTCAGACCAGCCTGGGCAATGTGGTAAAACCTTGTCTCTACCAAAAAAAAAAAATGGTATTGTCACTTTGAAAGACACTGGGCACAGTGGTGGCACATGCCTACAGTCCCAACTACAACTATTCAGTAGGCTGAGGCAGAAGGACAGATTGAGCCCAGGAGGTGGAAGCTGCACTGCACTCCAGCCTGGCAACAGAAGGAGACCCTGTCTCAACAAAATAAAGACATATAAAAAAATAAAGCTAGGGGAGGGATAGCATTAGGAGAAGTACCTAATGTAGATGATGGGTTGAACAAACCACCACGGCACATGTATACATATGTAACAAACCTGCATGTTATAGACACGTATCCAGGAACTTAAAGTATAATTTAAAAAAAAAAAAAAGGCCAGGCACAGTGGTTCACCTAATCCCAGCACTTCAGGAGGCCGAGGCGGGTAGATCACAGGGTCAAGAGATCGAGATCATTCTGGCCAACATGTTGAAACCCCATCTCTACTAAAAATACAAAAATTAGCTGGGTGTGGTGGCACACACCTGTAGTCCCAGCTACTCGGGAAGCTGAGGCAGGAGAATCACTTGAACCCTGCAGGTGGAAGTTGCAGTGAGCTGAGATCGCACCACTGCACTCCAGCCTGGTGATGGAACGAAACTCCGTCTCAAAAAAAAAAAAAAAAAAAAAAAAAACTACAATAAATCAAAAGAGTGTGGTACTGGCCAAAAAACACACCAATGAAACAGAATAAAAAACTTGGAGAGACTCATATAATACAGTAAACTGATTTCTGACAAAAGAGCAAATGCAATAAACTGATCTTTGATAAAGGAGCAAATGCAATACAATTGGAACAAAGATAGTATTCAATAAATGATACTGGAACAACAGGGTGTCCATAGGAAAAAAAGAATGAATCCAAATACAGACCTTATACCCTTCAAAAAAACTAACTCAAAATGTATTACAGACCTAAATGTAAAACATAAAACTACAAAACCACTAGACGATGACATAGGAGAAAACCTAGATGACACTGGGTATGGTAACAACTTTTTAGAACAATACCGAAATGCACTCCAATACCTAAAGGAATTCCAATACACCAGACCTTGGCTATGGTGGTGACTTTTTAGATACAATATCTAAAAGCATTCTAATATCGAAAGGTATTCCAAAGGCAAGATCCATGAAATAAATAATGGATATGCTGAATTTTCTTAATATTAAACACTCTGTTCTTTGAAAGACAATGTCGGGGAGATCCATGGCCAAATAGGAACAACTCTGGAGTGCAGTTCCTAGTGAGAGCAATGCAAAGAGTGAGTTATGGACGCATTTACAAACGAGGTAACCTGTGCATCTCAATGAGATTGTTTACAGAGTGGGTGTAGCCCAAGAAGGGCCAGCTGAAGCAGGGTACAGCGCTGCCTCACCTGGGAAGTGCAATCCCTGGAGAACTCCCCTCCCTACCCAACAGAGGCCATGGGGGCTTTTACATCCACTCTAGCACTCCGGTTCCAGATACTGCTGCTTCTCCTGCAGTTTTTACCACCCACAGACCAGCAGATTCCCGGGCTGAAAAACGCCACGAGTTTCCAGCACAGCTGGCAACACGGGTTTCTGCACAAAAATTCACACAAATCTGGGCAGCCGCTTTAACTGGCACCTGGAACACCTGGGAGACAGAGCCGCCCATTCAAAGGAAAAAGAGGGGGCAGAAACAGGGAGCCAGGTGACCTGGCTTGGTGAGTCCCATCCCTACAAAGACCAAGCAATCTGAAACACTCTCGAGTTTCACAGCCAGACCTGAGATGGTCCAGCTATGTGAGGGGAAGGGCGTCCACCGCCACCAAGGCAGCCCGCCACTACTGAGGCAGTCCACCATTACTGAGGCAGACCGCCATTACCGAGGCAGTTCTAACTGTACCTCTGTAAACAAAACCACAAAGAAGTTACACAGCATCTGGGGAGACAGAGGCTGTGGCAGCTCAGCAAAACCTCTGCTGGCAGACTGTGACTAGACTACCTCATTGCTGGGCAGGGCATATCTGAAAAAAGGCAGCAGAACATAAGGAACTTATAAATAAAGCCCCACCTTCCCAGAACAGAGCACCTGGGAAAAGAGGCGGTTATGACTTCTGCTACAGCAGACTTAAACATACCTGCCTGGCAGCTCTGAATGGAACAACAGAGCTCCCAGTACAGCACCTGAGCTCTAATAAGGGACAGATCGTCTCCTCAAGGGGATCCCTGACCCCCAGAAATCCAAATAGGCACCTCAGAAAGGAGAGCTCTAGCTGACATCTGGCAGTTACCGTTCTGGAATGAAGAAAACAGAAGAAGAAACTGGCAGCAACCCTTACTGTTATGCAGCCAACATGGGTGATTCCCAGGCAAACAGGTCTAGAGTGGACCTCCAGCAGTCCTACAGCAGAGGAGCCTCTTAGAAGGAAAACTGAGTAACAGAAACAAATAGCTTCAATGCCAACAAAAAGGACGTCCACTCAGAGACCCCATCCGAAAGTTACCAATTACAAAGACTACAGGTAGATAAATCCACAAAGATGGGAAGAAACCAGTGCAAAAGGATGAAAACACCAAAAACCAGAACGCCTCTCCTCCTTCAAGGGATCACAGCTTCTCACCAGCAAGGGAACAAAGCTGGATGGAGAATGAGTCTGATGAAGTGACAGAAGCAGGCTTCAGAAGATGGGTAATAACAATCTGACCTAAAAGAACATGTTCTAACCCAGCGCAAAGAAACTAGGAACCTTGAGCAAAGGTTACAGGAAATTGTAACTAGAGTAACCAACTTAGAGAAGAACATGAACAACTTAATGGAGCAGAAAGACACAGCGTGAGAACTTCACAAAGCATACACAACTTCCAATAGACAAATCGACCAAGCAGAAGAAAGGATACCAGAGATTGAAGACCAACTCAATGAAATAAAATGAGAAGGCAAGATTAGAGAAAGAAGAGTGAAAAGAAATGAACAAAGCCTCCAAGAAATATGGGACTATGTGAAAAGACCTAGTCAACATTTGATAAGTATACCTGAATGTGACGAAGAGAATGAATCCAAGCTGGAAAACGCTCTTCAAGATAACATCCAGGAGAACTTCCCGAACCTAGCAAGGCAGGCCAACATTCAAGTCCAGGAAATATAGAGAACACCACAAAGATATTCCTCAAGAAGAGCAACCCAAGGCACATAATCGTCAGATTCACCAGGGTTGAAATGAAGGAAAACATGCTAAGGGCAGCCAGAGAGAAAGGTCAGGTTACCCACAAAGGGAAGTAAATCAGACTCACAGTGCATGTCTCGGCAGAAACTCTACAAGCCAGAAGAGAGTGGGGGCCAATATTCAACATCTTTAAAGAAAAGAACTTTCAACCCAGAATTTCATATCCACCCAAACTAAGTGAAGGAGAAATCTTTACGGACAAGTGATTGCTGAGAGATTTCGTCACCACCAGGCCTGCCTTACAAGAGCTTCTGAAAGAAGCACTAAACATGGAAAGGAACAACCAGTATTAGCCACTCCAAAAACATACCAAATGGTAAAGACCATTGACACAATGAAGAAAGGCGAACCAACCAGCTACCATCAGAATGGCAGGATCAAATTCATACGTAACAATATTAACCTTAAATGTAAACAGGCTAAATGCCCCAATCAAAAGACACAGACTGGCAAATTGAATAAAAAGTCAAGAGCTATCGGTGTGCTGTATTCAGGAAATCCATCTCATGTGCAAGGACACACATAGGCTCAAAATAAAGGGATGGAGGAAGATTTACCAAGCAAATGGAGAGCAAATAAAAGCAGGAGTCGCAATCCTACTCTCTGATAAAATGGACTTTAAACCAACAAAGATCAAAAGAGACAAAGAAGGACATTACATAATGGTAAAAGGATCAATGCAAGAAGAAGAACTAACGATCCTAAATATATACACGCCCAATATAGGAGCACCCAGATACATAAAGCAAGTTCTTAAAGACCTACAAAGAGACTTAAGACTCCCACACAATGATAGTGGGAGACTTTAACACTCCACTGTCAATATTAGACAGATCTACGAGACAGAAAATTAACAAGTATATCTAGGACTTGAACTCAGGTCTGGACAAAGCAGACCTAATAGACATCTACAGAACTCTCCACCCCAAATCCACAGAATATATATTCTTCTCAGCACCACATCACACCTACTCTAAAACTGACCACATAATTGGAAGTAAATCACTCCTCAGCAAATGCAAAAGAACAGAAATCATAACAAACAGTCTCTCAGATCACAGTGCAATCGAATTAGAACTCAGGATTAAGAAACTAACTCAGAGGCCGGGTGCAGTGGCTCACACCTGTAATACCAGCACTTTGGGAGGCCGAGGCAGGCAGATCACGAGGTCAAGAGATCAAGACCATTCTGGCCAACACGGTGAAACCCCATCTCTACTAAAAATATAAAAATTAGCTGGGCGTGGTGGTGCGCGCCTGTAGTCCTAGCTACTTGGAAGACTGAGGCAGGAGAATTGCTTGAAACTGGGAGGCGAAGGTTACAGTGAGCCAAGATTTTACCACTGCACTCCAGCCTGGCACCTGGCGATGGAGCAGGACTCTGTCTTAAAAAAAAAAAAAAAAAGTAACTCAGAACTGTACAACTTCATGGAAACTGAACAACTGGCTCCTGAATGTCAACTGGATAAAGGCAGAAATAAAGATGTTCTTCAAACCCAATGAGAATGAAGACACAACGTACCAGAATCTGTAGGACACATTTAAAGCAGTGCCCAGAGGAAAATTTACAGCAATAAATGCCCACATGAGAAGCGAGAAAAGATTTAAAATTGACACCCTATTGTCAAAATTGAAAAGAGCTGGAGGAGCAATATCATAAAAACTGAAAAGCTAGCAGAAGACAAGAAATAACTAAGATCAGAGCAGAACTGAAGGAGATAGAGACACAAAAACCTCTTCAGAAAAATCAATAAATCCAGGAGCTGGCTTCTTGAAAAGATCAACAAAATAGACCACTAGCCGGATTAATAAAAAAGAAAAGAGAGAAGAATCAAATAGATGCAATAAAAAACAATAATGGGGATATCACCAACGATTCCACAGAAATACAAACTACCATCAGAGATTACTACAAACAACTCTATGCACATAAACCAGTAAACCTGGAAGAAACAGATAAATTCCTGGACACTTGCATCCTCCCTAGCCTAAACTAGGAAGAAGTCAAAACACTGAATAGACCAATAACAAGGGCTGAAGTTGAGGCAGCAATTAATAGCTTACCAACCAAAAAAAGTCCAGGTCCAGAGGGGTACACAGCCAAATTGTACCAGACACACACAGAGGACCTGGTACCACTCCTTCTGAAACTATTCCACACTCCTTCTGAAACTATTCCAAACAATACAAAAGGAGGGAATCTTTCCTCAATCATTTTATGAGACCAACATCATCCTGATACCAAAACCCAGCAGACACTCAAAAAAAAAAGGAAAACTTCAGGCCAATATCCATGATGAACACAGATGCAAAAATCTTCAATAAAATACTGGCAAACCAATTGCAACAGCACATCAAAAACCTTATCCATCATGATCAAGTAGGCTTCATCCTACTTGATGCAAGGCTGGTTCAACATACTCAAGTCTATAAACATAATCCATCACATAAACAGAATCAAAGACAAAAACCACATGATTATCTCAATAGATGCAGAGAAGGCCTTTGACAAAATTCAACAGCACTTTAGCTAAAAACTCTCAATAAACTCTGTATCAACGGAACATATCTCAAAATAATAACAGCTATTTACAACAAACCCACAGCCAACATCATACATTTATGGGCAAAAACTGGAAGCATTCCCTTTGAAATCTGGCACTAGACAAGGATGCCCTCTCTCACCACCCCTATTCAATATCGTATTGGAAGTTCTAGCCAGAGCAATCAGGCAAGAAAAAGAAATGAGTATTCAGTTAGGAAACGAGGAATTCAAACTGTCTCTATTTGCAGATGACACGATTGTATATTTAGAAGACCCCCATTGTCTCAGCCCAAAATCTCCTGAAACTGGTAAGCAACTTCAGCAAAGTCTCAGGATACAAAATCAATGTGCAGAAATTGATTTGTTTCAATGCACAAGCATTCCTATACACCAGTAACAGACAAACAGAGAGACAGATCAAGAGCAAACTCCCATTCACAACTGCTACAAAAAGAATAAAATACCTATGAATACAATTAACAAAGGATGTAAAGGACCTCTTCAAGGAGAACTACAAACCACTGCACAAGGAAATAAGAGAGGACACAAACAGATGGAAAAACATTCCATGCTCATGGTTAGGAAGAATCAGTATCGTGAAAATGGCCATACTGCCCAAAGTAACTTACAGATACAAGGCTATCCCCATCACGCTACTAATGACCTTCTTCACAGAACTGGAAAAAACCACCTTAAACTTCATATGGAACCAAAAGAGAGCCCATATAGCCGAGACAATCCTAAGCAAAAAGAATAAGGCTGCAGGCATCACGCTACCTGACTTCAAACTATACTACAAGGCTACAGTAATCAAAAGAGCATGGTACTGGTACCAAAACAGAGATACAGACTAATGAAACAAAACAGGCCTCGGAGGCAATGTGACACATCTACAACCATCTGATCTTTGACAAACCTGACAAAAACAAGCAATGGGGAAAGGATTCCCTGTTTAATAAATGGTGTTGGGAAAACTGGCTAGCCATGTGCAGAAAGCAGAAACTGGACCCCTTTCTGACGCCTTACACTAAAATTAACTCCAGAAAGATTAAAGACTTAAACATAAGACCTAACACCATAAAAACCCTAAAAGAAAACCTAGGCAAAACCATTCAGGACATGGGCATAGGCAAAGACTTCATGACTAAAACACCAAAAGCATTGGCAACAAAAGCCAAAATAGATAAATGGGATCTAATGAAACTCCAGAGCTTCTGTACAGCAGAAGAAACCATCATTAGAGCAAACTGGCAACCAACAGAAAGGGAAAAAATTTTATTAATCTACCCATCTGACAAAGGGCTAATATCCAGAATCTACAAAGAACTAAAACAGATTTACAAGAAAAAAACAAACAAACCCATTCAAAAGTGGGTGAAGGATATGAACAGACACTTTACAAAAGAAGGCATATATGAGGCCAACAAACATATGAAAAATGCTCATCATCACTGGTCATTAGAGAAATGCAAATCAAAACTACATTGAGATACCATCTCCTGCCAGTTAGAATGGCAATCATTAAAAAATCTGGAGACAACAGATGCTGGAGAGGATGTGAAGAAATAGGAGCACTTTTACACTGTTGGTGGGAGTGTAAATTAGTTCAGCCATTGTGGAAGACAGTGTGATGATTCCTCAAGGATCTAGAAATAGAAATTCCATTTGACCCAGCAATTCCATTACTGGGTATATATCCAAAGGATGATAAATCGTTCTATTACAAAGACACATGCACACGTATGTTCACTGTAGCACTATTTACAATGGCAAAGACCTGGAACCAACCCAAATGCCCATCAATGATACAGACTGGACAAGGAAAATGTGGCACATATACACCATGGAATACTATGCAGCCATAAAAAATGATGAGTTCACGTCCTTTGTAGGGACATGGATGAATTTGGAAACCATTATTCTCAGCTAATGGACACAAGAACAGAAAATCAAACACCACGTGTTCTCAATCATAGGTGGGTGTTGAACAATGAGAACACATGGACACAGG